TTGAAGTTGGCAGTGTTGGCTAACGCACAATGTTTTAGTCAACAGCACTGAAATCTAGCTTGATTCAGCTTCCGGTAATTTATCCTCAAATTAAGTGTTGGAAAACTACGACTAATTTTGGTGTTGCTTAAATTGTTCACAGAGCTTTATTTGAATAATAGACCGGCCGAGATTAGAGACACACCTGAACGTATTCGGATCAATTTTGACCACTTTCACATCCGGATCGGGACTAACGACAAATTCCTTGCAGCGCGAATTGTAGCTCCAGAGATCGCCCAGCGAACGCGCCACAGCCAGAAAGGGTATATCATCAACGAGGGTGCGTCGCTTGATGGGTCCGCGATGCATTGGATCGCGCGGACGATTCCAGACGACGCGCGGCACACCTGACTTGATGGCCACCTGACCGCCGGAGCGCTGAATGCGCGCCTTCTCCGCCTGCGATTCGGGCTTGTGATCTGTTGTCAATTGTTTGGCGCGCCAGCGGCGCTCGCCAGGATTCTGATAGCCGAGCACAATGCCCGAGTCGCCCACATGTCCAATGTAGATCTTCTCGCGGCGCATAAAAGCGACTGTTGCTGTGGTGCCGGCGGTGCTCAAATGCCCGTTAGCTGTGCGCGGCCACTTTTCTATAAATAAGAAGGCAAAACACCAGAAATTAAATTCAAATTCAATTTCGATAACGATTATATCGATAAATTCTGCAAGCGTATTTTAACCTATTCAAATTCGCATTGTACGCTGTTAAACTTGAAAATTATCCATTTTCTTTTCTCTTAATTTAATTGCTAGCTTAAATTGTTTTTTATTTGTGACGTCGCAGCAGCAACAATTTTTATATAAACCTTTCCAATTGTGCACACTTGCTGCGCTGCTAATCTGCTTTTGTGTGTATTGCCGACTCGCTCTAGCGCACGCTCAATTATGGGCGCACACAGCGGGGTTGCCAGCGTACGTCACTTTCGTGAGCAGCTGGCAAGCCTATGGAATATTCCACTCAGAGAGTGGCAAACCAATCGATAAGCGATTATTATAATACACGGACACACATATATAGTTGACTCGCTCACTCACCTTGCTCGCGCCACATAGCAAAGTGTGTGCTAATGTAACCTTCGCGTATCGCACGCAACACATCCTCATCGTTATCGGACCAGAACAGCTTTTGCTTCACAATCTCCAGCATAAGGTGCTCCTTGGCAAAGAGCGCTGCCTCCGTGCCGCCATGTCCGTCGTAGATGCCAAAGAATGCGTATTCCAGCTCGTGTGTCAGTGGCGACTCTTGATATGCTACCGAGAATTGATCCTCCATATATTTGCGACCGCCCTGACTACACTGTCCGGTCACACGCATATTTACGCCCAATGTGGGCGTGGTGCTGGCAGTAGTTCTCTCTTTGCTGCGCTGCCGGCTGCTGACATTGCCGCTGCCTTTGGTGCGCATCGGTGTCGCTGCTGCAGAGCTACCGCCGCTGCTGCTGCTACTGCTGTTGCTCGAAGTTTCTGTTGTGGGCGTGACCAGTGGAGTCTCTGCTGATCTTGGGTGAACAACAACGTCGAGCAATGTATTGTTATTGTTGTTATTACTGACTCGGGAGCAGCGCTGCTCGGAGACTGAAGCCACTGAAGCGGCCGATGCCGCTGTTGCTGCGTCCGGATTCACATTTGGACTGGCATCTGTATAGTAATTAATAACATCATATTCCACATGGGCAACATCCTGTTCTGTTTCCATTGGAAGTGTGTTTATTGTTGTTGTTGCTGCTGTCTGCATGCTGGGAAGCATTTTTGCATTTAGAGGGGAGGGAGAGGGAAAGAAGATTGGGGCTGGTCGTAGCCGGCGCCTGTTTTGTACTTGTTTTGGTTTTGTTTATGTTGCTGCTTCTTCTTGATAACTTAGTGCTGCTGCCGCTGTTGTTGTTGTTGTTTTTACTGTTCTCGTTGCTGTTGTTGCTTTTGTCTTTCACAGCAGTGTTGTAATTTCATGTGACATTTGGCACTCGCACTCCCAATATTGACTGCTATCATTGCCGTCTCACTCTCACGTTACTTGGTCGCACCATGTGTGTGAGCGGGCGCACTACTCTCTGGCTCTTTGTTTGTCTACGCTGGACGACAGGCATGCAAGTGTGAGTATATATGTGTGAGTGAGTTTTATAGTATTTACGTTGATGGTTCTGTGTTTGTGTGTGATTGCTTGCCTTCTTCTTTCTATTTTTCTATTTTTTGTTGGTATTTTGATTCTTGTATTGGAAACCGCCGCCAATTTTTACTATCTTCTGCTGCTTGTGTTTCTTTCTTTCACTTCATTTGCGTTAATTTTTTCTTTTTGTTCTGAGCTTGTATAAACTTATGGGAAATTGTATGCAGTCAATGCCAGTTGCAGTTTCACCTTGATGGAAAATCAGATTATGCGCGCGCTTTGCGAACACAAACAAAACTCGTTTCCAGCCTCTTTTCAAATCTTACAGTCTTTGCGTTGCTGCAATTTGTTTTCGTTGTTGTTAGTGTTAAAACCGTTGCTGCAGAGTTCTTTCTTTTTAAATCTGCTATTTTTGTTGGTGTCGAGCATTTTCATCAGAATATTTTTGAAATAATCACGTACACACGCACACGACGGCAAATTGTTAATAACACAAAAACGAAATCAAATAGAAAGCAAGCGAACGAACGAACAGAGAGCAGCAGAGTTGTAGCAGTAGCGTAAGTTTGACGGGGAAAAAACAACTGAACAGCGCGCTGCGACTTGTTTGTGCTGCCAACTCACAAAATAAGCGGGCGCTAAACAAGCAGCAGGGCAGGCAGGCCACTCTGGCACACAAATACATACACGCATGCTCATACGGTATATAGGCATATACATACATGCATACATCCGTTCGTATGTTTGTGCGCAGATATGAGAGCGTGCGAGCAAGCGAGAGAGCAAGCAGTCGGGCAATTGAGTTGATATGCTGCTGCTGCTGCCTGGGTTGCCAGACGTGCTGAGAGAAAAATTGTGAAATTGCTTTGTGGCCGCACACACAACACAGCACAGCACAGGGTTGCGGTGAAGAGGAAAGATCCTCTGCTTATGACAGGTTTGCGTAACCCCCTAAACTAAGGTTGGCGCGTTGCCTCTAAGTTCGAAGTGCAACAATGTCACCTGCATAAGAAACTAATTTAATTTTCGTACATAATTTAAATAATAGCAACAATAACCATTTGAAAATATTATACACACAGATGATGAAAATACACTCATATGTATGCATATACATAAGTATATTAACGTAATAAATATTAAATAAAAATTATGTACAATATCCTATATGCATACATATGCATGGGTCTACATACTTTTAACATTTGATAAATCTTTA